TGTGATCAGTAGCTTTACAATGTTAATCTGTGTATATGTGTAATCAGTTGCTTGCTGTACAATGCTAATCTATGTAGATGTGTACTCAGTAGCTTTACAATGTTAATCTCTGTATATGTGTAATCAGTTGTTTGCTGTACAATGCTAATATATGTATATGTGTGATCAGTTGCTTTACAATGTTAATCTGTGTATATGTGTAATCAGGTGCTTTACAATGTTGATCTGTGTATATGTGTAATCAGGTGCTTTACAATGCTATTCTATGTATATGTGTAATCAGTTGCTGTACAATGCTAACCGATGTATATGTGTAATCAGTAGCTTGCTTTACAATGTTAATCTATGTATAAGTGTAATCAGTTGCTTGCTGTACAATGCTTATCTATGTATATGTGTGATCAGTAGCTTTACAATGTTAATCTGTGTATATGTGTGATCAGTAGTTTTACAATGTTAATATGTGTATATGTGTAATCAGTAGCTTGCTTTACAATGTTAATCTATGTATAAGTGTAATCAGTTGCTTGCTGTACAATGCTAATCTATGTATATGTGTAATCAGTTGTTTGCTTTACAATGCTAATCTATGTTTATGTGTAATCAGTTGCTGTACAATGCTAATCTATGTATATGTGTAATCAGTTGTTTGCTTTACAATGTTAATTTTATGTATATGTGTAAACAGTTGCTTTACAATGTTAATATGTGTATATGTGTAATCAGTAGCTTGCTTTACAATGTTAATCTGTGTAATCAGGTGCTTTACAATGTTGATCTGTGTATAAGTGTAATCAGTTGCTTTACAAGGCACATCTATGTATATGTGTTATCAGTTGTTTGCTTTAAAATGTTAATCTGTGTACTGTATAACATGAAATGTTCGTTGTTTATAAACATTCGTGGTTTTCGTGGAGGCTACGAAACCTCCCATGAACATTTCATGTTATACAGTATATGTTCGATCAGTCGCTTGCTTTACAGACTGCCTTGACTCTTGACTGGAAAGCATTTTTAATAGATCATATGTCAGTCTAGTATGACATTTTTGAACTTAGGCATTTCTCTACCAACGATATGAAACAGTATTTTCCTTTATAAGTTTGCCAAGAAAATAGCACGGCTTTTCAATGTAAACGGGTGAGTTATCGACCTGGCACTTCCACTTATAATTCTTTTTAATGTTGCCGATGTACAAAACGTAAAATGAAGCTGAATTATTTAAACCTAATAAGCTATTATTCGACCACGTGATCATTTTTCGGAAAACTACCTTTGTTCAGTTCTGCATCCACAATAATTGAAAAGTCGATGTCACATCCGAGTATTTATCGAGCCGAGTGATTTACTAACGTGACACTTTTCCTGGAAGATGTGATAAAATAAGGACCAAATTTAAAACTGGTTTTCAATTTCAATTTCAACAGATTTTATTGACTTTATATATGTCAATTGGATTGGATATCAGGCTAGGCCTATTTAAGTCCTTTCCAAACTTATTTACAAACATTACATATATATTCTGTCATAACAATCCAATTAGACAGTGCAGGGGAGATAACTCCAATTTAGCTTGTGAAATGAACATTTTTCAACCATTATTCAATCATTTTCTGTTTATGTTTTGGATATTAACAATTAAATATATCATGTATATTTGTTGAAAACCCATCCTACATAAAATCCAAGGGATACAGGCCAAACAGTCCCTGTATATAAACACATTGGCCATCCACCCGTTTGACCAGGTGAACTTATGATGAACATCCCTACCATAACATCACAACCACACATAGTGAGTATCCATGCAACACATATTTAGAAAACCAGATAAAGTCTCGGAGCTATGATTTAGTAATACAAGACTTTAAATCAGCATAAGTCGTTTCTGACATGAATACATTATATGTTAAACAGAATCTGTTATTCGCTTCCTTTTCATATGATATATATGAAATATTTAACGGTTCTTAATAATACGTTGCTCGAGATTTGATAAAATAAACAATGCTTAGACTTCTTTTTTAATTCACATAAGTTGGAAGTAATATTGTAAGCTATATATACAATTGCTGAATATAAAGAGGCGAACAAAATCATCACTACATGCTTCGTCAATTTGCCCCGGGATCTTGATATGCCCCTGAAGACTTAAGCTAATGAGCTTGAGTTCTATCAACTTAATAATCTATGATCGTTGGAGAGAAGTGAACAAGAATATAATAGAAATATGTTCGGACAAATATTGACAGAACGCAAACATATTGTAGTTATAGGTGGTAGCAAAACTGTACTTTTACATTAAATTCATATTGTAATTTTGACACCATTGGTTGATATAACTTTCACATATCGATAGATTCAGCAGTCTTATGTTTATAAAAGTTAGCTCTGACAATATGGATTGTTATACTTACTTTCAGAACTGTCGAATGTGGGATCTTTCGTACTTGTTTCATCAACCGGATGTCGTGTGTCCACGCAGCATTCCAACAGATATTGAATACATAAATTTAAGTCATCCTTGTGTTTTGGTTCCAGAACTGTGGCATACAAGATGTCATCACTTAAATGAGGAAACATGTCTTTCAATTTTTGCGCTAAAGAAACCTTTGCACTGGAAAGTTGTTCTGCAAACTCCATTTTTACATCTGAAACAACAAATGTTAAAAGGAAAGACTTAAACAAAGCAACATGCAGACTTACTCCGAATTGATACAACGTCTTTGGAAGGTGGCAATTGTTCATCAATGCTTACCATAAATGACACGCTATATAAAAAAAATATCGAAATATTCTTGATTAAAGAAATTATAATTTTTTAGACATTTGACCATTGTGATCTTGATAGTTATTAAAAAAATAAAAATGGGTCGAAAGGGGGAGCAGCCTATCATCAGCAACATTGGTCATTTTTGGAATGGCCACAGCACTGGTTAGGCACAGATATAATGATATAATTTGCACAAGGATCTTGATATGCCCCTGAGCTAATGACTTTGAGTTCTATCAACTAAATAATCTATGATCGTCGAAGAAAAGGGAACAAGAACAAAATAGTTAATATTTTCAGACAAATATTGACAGAATGCAAACATTGTGTCTTATAGGTGGTAGCAAAACGGGACTTTTACACTGAATTTCTATTGTAATTTTGACACCAAGACTTGATAAAACTTATGTTTATAAAAGTTAGCTCTCACAATATCGTTTATTGAACTTACTTTCAGAGCAGTTGAGTGTGGGATCTTTCGTACTTATTACATCAACCGGATGTCGCGTGTCCTTGCATTCCTCCCTTAAAGAAATCTGTGGACCGGAACTTTTTTCTGCAAACTCCATTTTCACATCTTAAACATGCAATGTTAAAAGGAAAGACAAAAACAAAGCAACATGAAGACTTCCTCCGAACTAATGCAACGTCTTTGGAAGGTGACTATTGTTCATAAACATTTTTTAACAATATGATAACTAATATTAAATGACGAATTTGACTGTAATACAAATGAAATAACTCCAATATCTGTTCACACTGAACATATTGAAGTGTGTTTATAACATGAGGTATTATTTCACGACGGTGTTAGCCGGAATGAAATATCTTTCTAACTCATATAAGAGCGACACTGATTGGAGCATAAAGGGATTTTAGTTGCCTATCGCTCCTACACCTGAGATCCGAGTGACTTAAGTAGACAACAACAATGACGCGTAAACCTGATCACCTCGCCTGTTGGGTTATTGTCCAATGACTGTAAACTAAAACATGCAATGCGACTGTATAAGGAAACTCATTGTTGTGTTTCCCCTTGATCAGCAATATTTCATTTTGATGACCTTGCCCGATTGATTACCAATTTCGATGACATTTCAGCAATTTCAGATGATTAGAATTTCGAAACCTAACATTAACGACGGACGACGGACCGCTTGACCAAGTGACCTAATTATGAAGCTCCCTACCATAGCATTATAACCACACGTAGTTGGTATCCATGCAACAAATATTGAGAAGATCAGATAAAGGCTCTGAGTTATAATATAATAACACCAGACTTTAAAGCAGCATAAAATGATACTTCCACAAATACATGGTGTATTAAACAGAAACTTGCATTCGTTTCCTTTCCATATGTAATATTAAATAATTACCGGTCCTTAATAATAGTCTGCCCTAGATTTGCTTAAGTAAGAAATACTTAGACTTGTTTCATAAATCACATACATTGAAAGTGGTATTATATCCTACATTTACAATTGCTGGATATCAAGAGGCGAACGCAATCAACACTTCATACTTCGTTAATTTGCCCCGGGATCTTGATATGCCCCTAAAGCTTTCAATCGTGACATGGGGACGTTCAAGATTACCACCCAATTACAACATGTACAATACTTTTGCTTTGCATGAGAAAACAAAAGCCTGCTACTAACATCGGATACGTGATCAGCCTCTGGTGACTTAGTCCTGGGGTCATAACATGGAAACAGTTGAGACTTCCACAACATTACCATGTATTATATTGTGAAGTCTACAATCCTTTTTGTAAAACTTGTTTCATACTTGTCGTAAGATAAGACACAGTTTAAATTAAATATCTATAGAAACAATATTTTCTGTACACATTTAATGTAGCTATGGGCAGAGTGGACCTTCTACGCAGATGTATTTGTAGAAAATCGAATGCCAAAGGGTCCGACACTCTATCAAAACTTTTAAAAGCTTTTTCAACGATATTCAGTTATTTCTTGCCTTGTCAATTACATGTAGCAGTCGAAACAATTTTCAAAAGAAGTTGGGATCGATCATATAACTTGTTTCCAGAGGACGTATATAGTTAGGAATGATAAAGCAGAAAAAACAACTGGTTGTTACTTAACCAACGAAAGGCAAAGAGCGGAGTAAGTTAAAAATATAAACATTAACTAGAAGTACGCATTCACAATTCTTCTCGCCCCTTATGTTTTTTTTATGATTACCGAGTCGCAGTTTTCAATAACCAGCAACAAAACATTATCGGTAATAGCTTCAATGTTTAGCTTCATCACTTAGGCCTTGTGCTTGTGCTCGCTTCCTCGATATTATTCAAGGGGTTACGCTCTTTCAGTTCTCTGCGTCCCTGCAATATGTCATGACAAAATCGAAGGCTCTGTACGTGCCACAGTGTCGATGGTTAAGTTAGACTAGTTTAATCTTTTGATGTACGCCAAAAGAATCACACGGAAGTGTAACGATGAACTTGACCGGCTATTAAGTGGGATTGTGCTGCTCCTCCGTTATCTATAAGAGGCAAGTGTCAATCTAGAAATTGGTTCTTTTTCACATAAAACCAATTACAAAGCCAACCACTGCCTTTTATTTTGTATATACATGTATTATACAGCTCTCGGAATACTTTTGTTTACGTAACATCAATGTGCCAAGTCCATTGAACGATAGTTGCTAGGCCAGCGGATGAGCCTCATTGAGGATGTCATTATTGTTCATGCATATCTAATAAAGAATGTATTTTCGCGCATGTATCCTACAATTTCTAGGTTAATTCCTAAACGTACGGATACGAATCCTGCTTTTAGATATTAGTCAACCGTGTAAGACTCAATTGCCTCTTTGTCAACATCATGACTTATCGATTTAGACATTTGCTACAACGTCGTCTTTTCATGAATACGCTCATGATTGAAGCTTACATGCGAAACATTAACTTAAATGCCAAGCAAACTGGAGGACAGAGGATAATAGGATAAAATGAAACAGGGTATGATCACTCATGGATTAACGTCATCTGCACGTTTTCCTGCGCCATATAAGATACCGAAAACATCCTTTTAGACACAACAAATTTATACACAATGAATATACACAATACATATTTAACCCAGAAAGAAAAGAGATATGTACCATTGTTTATCCGAACGAACGTTCTGTTGCTGGATCCAGTTCCTTTGGTATTTGTAGCCCGGCAAACATACCATCCTTCATCATCAACACCGACGTTTCGGATGATTAGAGAGGGAGCTATTTCAGAGCCTCCATAGTATTTCTTGTTGTCTACTTCTATTTCACTCTGGATATCGTCATCTTTTACCTTAAACCACTCGATTGACGAAGCAGGTGGTGACGAGATAATATATGTTTGCAAGATGACTGACTCGCTGTCGGAAACGAACACCTCTTCTCTACTAAAGCTCACAAATGGAAGTCCTGCAAACAATGAAGTAAGTGTATGAGTTTGTAAATTCAACAGACGTTAACATCATATCCGAACATTTATATCGTAACTTACCATCTTCAGGCTTGTGCTCCGGTGTTATTTCGATACTTGCTTCGTCTACTTCTAAAATTGTATCTGAATCCTCTGATAATTGTAATCCACCTTCCAATACGTAGTGCTTGAACTGCTCAGCCAAACAGACTGCAGGCGGTTCTGACATACTTTTGGCCGGCTTGATTTCAAGGAGAACTCGTTTATATTCTGAAAGGTATTTTATATATTATATATAAATATATAAAGAAAACATTGAGAAGTCAAACAAGCCATGATGACCTTAGATTTTTACAAGTGAACAGACATATTCATAACTGTGCTAACAATAACTTCAAAGTGTTCCCTATTTACAAAATGCATTCATCTGATGTGATAAAGAGGGAAGTTAAGGAGTCGGAGTTAATGAAACTGTTGAAACCCAGTCTGAATAGTTCACATTAAGTTTAACGTGTCATGCTTTAAGCAATTGCTGTGCTTTAAATATTATTGTTCATAGTTTATTGTTGCCGTAAATGAAACAATTTGTATCTCCCGTATTTTTTATTGTTGGTAAGATCATAAAGTTATGCATTTGTCTAAGTATTGTGACGTCACAATTACGCTTGTATTGTTGTTGACGTCATGGATTTATGTGTATGCTTTCTGTGACGTCATAATGACTTTGCTTTATTGATGACGTCATACTCTCTTGTGTAAACAACTATTGCCTATTCATGAGTAAGGGGTTATCATACCGTCAATGTATTAAGCTTTTTTTCAGCAAACTGGAAAGGAGGGGGGGGGGGATAGTTATTTTGGCATAAATTAGATGTATGGTTTATTTCGTGCTTAGAGTAAAAGAAATAAAATTAAACAATAATTTATTCTGCACCCATTTCTAAACTTTTCTAAGATATTCTTTTTCATGTCAAACAAAATATGGATTTATTCATTCCTTTGTTTATTTATATACTTAATAATTTATCTATTTATTTATTCATGTGTGCCTCTGTGCAGCCGATCGAGACGAAATATAAAGGTAGTACATTTATGGAATCTGAAAACAACTTGTACCATGCAGACATGTTTTCAGTAAAATAACTGGGTAAACAAAGGCTATAGATGATTGAGTCCTGTTATCAAGGCGCATAACTACCATAACACAATAAAGTGATGACCGACTAATTATAACAAATAAAGGCATCGGAAGCATAGGAGTAAAACACATAGGATAATCAAACGCCAAAATTTGACCTACAAATAGCTAAGCACCCCATTTTTAGCGAAAATGCAAAATTGTGGGCCAAAATATCCCAAAACACGGTATTTCAAAAGTCTAAATAAATGTTCGAAATTGGAATCAATGAGAAAGTTCAATAACTATATTACGTACATGTATGAATATGTAAGAAAATAAAACTTGGCACTAAGGTTTTTATTGTCAGGCTTCATTAACAAACAGTTTTTATAACAATAAAAAAAGTTCGTCCTGCATGTACAAGACAAATGTCTAACATGTTGATAGAGAGAAATGATATCACAGTTATATGAAATGACGAAAGCGCTTGATACAGCAATCATTTTAACGATGGGAGATTACCAGTGTTCAACGCTGTGACAGGTAATTGTATAATATGCAATAGGAACCACTAGCTGGACCATCATATACTCTGTATAAATGATTTATTTGAAAGTAACACGAATGTGATCATGTTCGAAATCCAAATAGCCATTTATAATTATAAAAAACCCACAGAACAAATAATTTGAACGTTGCATATTTTTACAACACTCAACTAGTTACAAAAGTTAAACATGAGTGTTTTTCACGATTTCAGATTAATTGAAATCAACAACAACGCGTATATTTCTGATTTCGCAATGTTAATCTCATTTATGATGTTTTAGTTTATTTGAAAATCTGCTTACTTTGTTGAAAGTCTTTTGTTTCTATTGTTTCTATTCGCTTTTCAAAGCCTGTAGCTGCACAAAACTCCCTTTCTATGATTGAAGCTGGTCTGGCGATGTCGTTATCATTTGTAATCGTAAACATCATTTTACAAGTGGACTGCAATATTTGAAGAGCAAGCTCTGTAATGAAACAGTAACATACAATCTCACTGCTTTCTCTCTCAAATTATATGCTAGTAGATCATGCTAGTAGATCATGTATTTTGTCGCGTAGGTTTGTCTAGACATGCTTGTGGTCAAATTATCCAGATCAAGTATTGTTAGCTTGATATGTCGCTACGCGTTCCGGGGTAGGTATGTCAAGTTACAAACAAGTTATCCCAACTTATATGTATCACTCTTGCTGGCCCGGTTGGTAGCGCGCAAGGAGTCTGGATGTGGGAGGAGACTTGAATACCCCGAGGAAACCCACATGGTCGGACAAGTGTCTCATTACGTGTTCCAGTGAAAGATGAGTGCACTATCCACTGCACCTGAATGTGGCAGGTTAATTATTTTTTTTTCTTTTCTTTTCAAATTATGTTGTTATTATGAGCCAACCCCTCATTTGGCTAATTTCTGTGGAAAAAACCTTCTAGAAACCAATGTGGAATAATGGAATGGAAACGGATGGAAATAAGGAAGACCAGACAAAGAGAAAATGATAGGCCTGCTTTTCGAAATAAGGGGTATATAAAAAGTAAATTAGTTGACATAAAAANTGTGACGTCACAATTACGCTTGTATTGTTGTTGACGTCATGGATTTATGTGTATGCTTTCTGTGACGTCATAATGACTTTGCTTTATTGATGACGTCATACTCTCTTGTGTAAACAACTATTGCCTATTCATGAGTAAGGGGTTATCATACCGTCAATGTATTAAGCTTTTTTTCAGCAAACTGGAAAGGAGGGGGGGGGGGGGATAGTTATTTTGGCATAAATTAGATGTATGGTTTATTTCGTGCTTAGAGTAAAAGAAATAAAATTAAACAATAATTTATTCTGCACCCATTTCTAAACTTTTCTAAGATATTCTTTTTCATGTCAAACAAAATATGGATTTATTCATTCCTTTGTTTATTTATATACTTAATAATTTATCTATTTATTTATTCATGTGTGCCTCTGTGCAGCCGATCGAGACGAAATATAAAGGTAGTACATTTATGGAATCTGAAAACAACTTGTACCATGCAGACATGTTTTCAGTAAAATAACTGGGTAAACAAAGGCTATAGATGATTGAGTCCTGTTATCAAGGCGCATAACTACCATAACACAATAAAGTGATGACCGACTAATTATAACAAATAAAGGCATCGGAAGCATAGGAGTAAAACACATAGGATAATCAAACGCCAAAATTTGACCTACAAATAGCTAAGCACCCCATTTTTAGCGAAAATGCAAAATTGTGGGCCAAAATATCCCAAAACACGGTATTTCAAAAGTCTAAATAAATGTTCGAAATTGGAATCAATGAGAAAGTTCAATAACTATATTACGTACATGTATGAATATGTAAGAAAATAAAACTTGGCACTAAGGTTTTTATTGTCAGGCTTCATTAACAAACAGTTTTTATAACAATAAAAAAAGTTCGTCCTGCATGTACAAGACAAATGTCTAACATGTTGATAGAGAGAAATGATATCACAGTTATATGAAATGACGAAAGCGCTTGATACAGCAATCATTTTAACGATGGGAGATTACCAGTGTTCAACGCTGTGACAGGTAATTGTATAATATGCAATAGGAACCACTAGCTGGACCATCATATACTCTGTATAAATGATTTATTTGAAAGTAACACGAATGTGATCATGTTCGAAATCCAAATAGCCATTTATAATTATAAAAAACCCACAGAACAAATAATTTGAACGTTGCATATTTTTACAACACTCAACTAGTTACAAAAGTTAAACATGAGTGTTTTTCACGATTTCAGATTAATTGAAATCAACAACAACGCGTATATTTCTGATTTCGCAATGTTAATCTCATTTATGATGTTTTAGTTTATTTGAAAATCTGCTTACTTTGTTGAAAGTCTTTTGTTTCTATTGTTTCTATTCGCTTTTCAAAGCCTGTAGCTGCACAAAACTCCCTTTCTATGATTGAAGCTGGTCTGGCGATGTCGTTATCATTTGTAATCGTAAACATCATTTTACAAGTGGACTGCAATATTTGAAGAGCAAGCTCTGTAATGAAACAGTAACATACAATCTCACTGCTTTCTCTCTCAAATTATATGCTAGTAGATCATGCTAGTAGATCATGTATTTTGTCGCGTAGGTTTGTCTAGACATGCTTGTGGTCAAATTATCCAGATCAAGTATTGTTAGCTTGATATGTCGCTACGCGTTCCGGGGTAGGTATGTCAAGTTACAAACAAGTTATCCCAACTTATATGTATCACTCTTGCTGGCCCGGTTGGTAGCGCGCAAGGAGTCTGGATGTGGGAGGAGACTTGAATACCCCGAGGAAACCCACATGGTCGGACAAGTGTCTCATTACGTGTTCCAGTGAAAGATGAGTGCACTATCCACTGCACCTGAATGTGGCAGGTTAATTATTTTTTTTTCTTTTCTTTTCAAATTATGTTGTTATTATGAGCCAACCCCTCATTTGGCTAATTTCTGTGGAAAAAACCTTCTAGAAACCAATGTGGAATAATGGAATGGAAACGGATGGAAATAAGGAAGACCAGACAAAGAGAAAATGATAGGCCTGCTTTTCGAAATAAGGGGTATATAAAAAGTAAATTAGTTGACATAAAAAGTAATGGAAAATATAATATATAAAATAAAAAAAACTTGATAAATTTAATAAATGATTGTTTTCCTACCAATATAAATCGTATGACTTCAAATTCTTTTGTTTTGGATAACGTTCTTTCTGTCCCCTCTTATGAAACCACTTATTCATAATGTCATAAAAAAGGAATGACAATTCTTCTCATCACCATGAGTAATATAGATAATGTTTTCTGTCGTCAATTTTTTGTCATGTTAAACAAAATGAATTTTATCCTATGATTTATATCAATACCTTTATTCGGCTTCCTTTCATGCTTTTCCTCATGTGAACGACTGCAAAATAAGGGAACAAAAAGATATAAAGTCAAAACTATCCAGAACTATAATTTTACTGTCAAAACAAATTACCATGTTTATTGTTTGTGATTGCGCCTTATCCTATTAATGTTCACGTGATACAATACTAATATGGATAAGACGTCTTTCTGCCCATATTTCATTTTTTTTTTCATATTTCTAAATATGCTTGTAATATATTTATTATAAGATATCCATTTGTACCTCGATCTGTTATTGCTATAACTGTTCCATACTCCAGCTCCTGGACCTGGTTCAAAGTCAGATAGGCGAGTTATCTGTACGGTGCTTCCCCTTTCTTCATTCGAATCTAGGATTTAAATAAATTAAAATAAAATGGCTCACAAATAAAAACATATGCTGTATGCATGTACATTTTTATCTCCCCTTCATTAGTAACCGTCTTGTGGAAATTTATTTAGATCATGACCGCGTTTATGTTCCTGTGGGTTTTTTTCATGTTAGTTTTATATACATTTGAATGTTTGTTGGTCAGTAGTGCGATCGTACGCGTAGTTTATGTACTATTTTTTATGTTTATCTGTTGGTAGTGCGAGACAATATAAGTAACAACTACAGTATAACTGTACATGTACTTTTCTTTTCTGGTTATGTTACTTTTATTTCATCATGTCGTTCATCTTTTAAACACCAGAGAGAAATGATAATAGTAAGTTCATTATAGTATGTCAAATAACATCAAAATAGCATCTGCAAACTGTAAAGAATTAGGGGAAAAAGAAAAGAGAAACGATGTTTTTAACTAGCTAAAACATAACTACAAAGATTTTAATATCTTATGTCTTCAGGAAACTCATTTTACAGAAGAGCAGGAAAAAGAAATAGGGCTACAATGGGGATATACATGTATTTTTAATTCATACAGAAATAATTCAAGGGGAGTATGTGTACTTTTTAATAATAATATTGGATTTTATATTCATAATAAATGGAAAGATATACAAGGTAATATAATAATTATTGATCTAAGTATTGAACAAAATAGATTCACACTAATAAATGTATATGGTCCAAATAGAGATGAACCAGATTTTTACGAAAAGATATTTAAACAAATAACTAGTTATAATAACCCCAATTGTATTATTTGTGGTGACTTCAATTAAGTTTTAGACCCAGAAAAAGACACAAATAATTTTGTTAATATAAATTACCCAAATGCTCGAACAAGGCTTTTAAAACTTACAGAAGATATAAATTTAATTGACCCTTTCAGATTTTCCCATCCTAATTATAGACGATATACATGGAGAAAGAAGACCCTGTAAAACAAGCTAGATTAGACTTCTTTCTAATCTCAGAAAATATTTCTGACTATATTGATAAAAGTAAAATTCGTATAGGTTGTAGGTCAGACCATTCAATTATCTCATTAGAAATAAAAATAAATAATTTTGTAAAAGGAAGGGGCCTATGGAAATTTAATAATAGTCTTTTATATGACCAAGAATATGTACAAAAAGTAAAAGAAACAATAGGTAAGGTAAAACAACAATACTGTTCACCTATTTATAATAATGACATTTCAAATGTAATAGATTCAGAACTTGTACTATGTATTGATGATAAATTATTTTTAGAAACATTGTTAATGGAGATAAGAGGAATTACCATATCACATTCATCATTTAGAAAAAAGGAAAGGAATAAAGGAGAAAAATAATTAATATATAATTTAGAACAACTTGAAAGTAACAATACATGGGCATGAAATTTGGAGGCATATAAACAAAAGAAGACGGAGTTAGAATATATTAGAATAAATAAAATGAAACGACACATGATTCGTTCAAAGGTTACTTTGTTAGATGAGGGCGAAAAACCAACAAAATATTTTGTAATTTAGAAACTTATAATTATAAGAACAAAACTATAATTGAAATTGAAAAAGATAATGGTGAAGTTTTAACAAGTCAAGATGATATTCTTGCAGAAATAATGAACTTTTATAAACAGCTATATGCTGATCGTGACCACTTTTGTTACATAGAAAATGTTAATTTAAATAATTTGTTAAGTGGTCTAGAGTATGTTAAATTAACTGATTATCAACTTTTTCTGTACCCTCTTTTGAAACCACTTATTCATAATGTCATGAACAAGAGGACCAGATGGCCTGTATCGCTCACCTGGATATCAAAGTAATCATGGCAAACTATTCACCGAATAAGATCCAAAGGAATGGATCAGACCACAAGGACAATCCTTGTATCCTATCTGTATAAGATGTTTCATGCTCAGCAATTTTATGTATGGTTATGGGGTGGGGATCTCAACTGTTTCCAAGGTGTGACTCAGACACTAGGTCCCTAGGGTTGTGGCCAGACCCCAGGATTAATTATAATATCATGACTGCATTCGTCTCTTTATGCCCAGCATTTGCATATACAGTTTTGGGATGGGGATCTCAACTGTTTCAAAGTTATGAACCAGGGGTTAAGTCTCCAAGGGTAGAGCAGACTCTGGAATCAATTCTTATATCATGACTGCATTCGTCTCTTCATGCCCAGCATTTGTATATACAGTTTTGGGGTGGGGATCTCAACCGTTTCAAAGTTATGACCGAGGTACTAGGTCTCCAAGGGTGGGGCCAGACCCCTGTGCAATCCTGGAAACATATGTGCATTCTTCTCTTCATTCCCAGCAATTGTATCTTTGGTTATATGGTAGGGATCTAAACCATTTCCAAGCAATAAACTATTTTTGGCCCCACCCTTTAGCCAAGGGGGTCAGCCCCACTACTTGTACAATTTGAATCCCTGTCTCCCATGAATGCTTCCAACCAAATATGATTGATATCCAGTGCATAGTTATACAGAAGAAGTCATTCAACGCAATATAGCCAAATTACCCTTTTTGACCACGCCCCTCAGTCCCTTGGGGGTCAGCCCCACCATTTGTACAATTTTAAATCCCCGCCACTCAGGAATGCTTCTGACCAAATATGATTGATATCCAGCACATAGTTCTACAGAAGATGTCATTATTGCAATTTAGCCAAATTGCCTCCTTTTGGCCCCGCCCCTCAGCCCCTGGGGAGTCAGGCCCACCATTTGTACAATTTTTTTTTACCGAGGGATGCTTCCAGTCAAATAAGGTTGATGTCCATCTATTAGTTGTAGACAAGAAGTCGCTTAAAGCAATAAAGCCAAATAACCTTTTGACTCCACCCTTCAGCTTCCTTGAGGTTCAGCCGCACCATTTGTACAATTTTGAATCCCCACTACCTAGGGATGCTTACAGTAAAATATGGTTGATACCCATTGCACAGTTCTACAGAAGAAGTCATTATAGCAAATTAGCCAAATTGCCCCCTTTTTGCCCCGCCCCTCAGCCACCTGGAGAATCAGACCCACCATTTGTACAATTTTGAATCCCCATTACCTAGGGATGCTTCCAGTTCAATATGGTTAATGTCCATCTTTTAGTTGTAGAAAAGAAGTCGCTTAAAGCAATAAAGTCAAATGACCATTTGGCCCCGCCCCTCAGCCCCCTTGAGGGTCAGCCCTACCACTTGTACAATTTTAAATCCCCACTACCTAGGGATGCTTCCAGTACAATATGGTTGATATCCATCTCTTAGTTCCAGAGAAGAAGTCGCTTAAAGTAATATAGCCAAATTGATCCATTTTGGCCCCGCCCCTCAGCCCCCTGGTGGGTCAGCCCCACCATTTGTACACTTTTGAATCCCCACAACCTAGGGATGCTTCGAGTCAAATATGGTTGATGTCCATCTTTAAGTTGTAGAGAAGAAGTCGTTTAAAGCAATATAGCCCAATAACCCTTTTTGGCCCGCCCCTCAGCCCCCTTGGAGTTCAGCCCAACCATTTGTACACTTTTGAATCCCCACAACCTAGGGATGCTTCCAGTAAAATATGATTGATATCCATTGCACAGTTCTACAGAAGAAGTTGTTTATAGCAATATATCCATGAATAAATTGTTGACGTATGGACGACAAACGGACGGACGGACGACGGTCGCCATGGTATGGCATAAGCTCACCTTGGTCCTTTGGACCAGGTGATCTAAAATTGAATGAAAATTCTTCTCATCACCATAAGTTATTTAGATAATGTTTTCTGTCGTCAATTTTTTGACATGTTAAACAAAATGAATCTTATCCTGCGATTTATATCAATACCTTTAGTCGGCTTCCTTTCATTGCTTTCCTCATGTGAACGACTGCAAAATAAGGGAACAAAAAGATATAAAGTCAAAACTATCCAGTATTATAATCTAACTGTCAAAACAAATTACCATGTTTATTTTTTGTGATTGCGCCTTATCCTATTAATGTTCACGTGATACAATACTAATATGGATAAGACGTCTTTCTGTCCATATTTCATTTCATTTCATATTTCCATATATGCTTGTAATATAATTATTTTAAGATGTCCATTTGTACCTCGATCTGTTATTGCTATAAGTGTCCCTTCCTTCTGCTCCTGGACCTGGTTCAAGGTCAGTTCGGTGTGTTTTCGGAATGGTGCTTCCCCTATCTTCAATCGAATCTAGGATTTAAATAAGTAAAAAAAAAAAATCTGTATCAATTTTGCAATAAACGCCATATGCTCAACACGAAGCAATTATTTTCTCTTATTATTTTAAAAATATAACTTTCCTGACATTAACACAGTACAAGAACAAGTAGTCTGCTATTTTCCAAGCACGCATGGAAATTCGTTGTTTTATATGCTATATTCTTTATAATCTAATAGTAGTCTAGGTAGTTCAAATAGTGAAGTACGTCGAAACAGATAGTAGTTGTCCACAAAAACGTAGCACTAAATTTTACTAAATAGTGCTGAAATGGGTTTAATTTGCACATGGTAAAGGATTCTTGGTATACTCGTGTACAGGTAGATCTTTGACTGTTTACACCCAAAATATCTTCGAAAACTTTGGACAGCGATTTTTTTCTGCAGTTTAATTAGCATCTCATTATTTGGCGCTACTACTTTAACCCAAGAAATACGTTGTAAATAAATAATTTCTCCCACCAGGAAAGAAAAGAAAGATTATCCCTTTTTTTTCTACTTTTCATAGCATAACATTAAAGCGTAATTTTATTGACTTTTCATAAATTAACACCATCGTTCTGACCCTATGAGTACGCTATTACCACTTGTACATAATATAATGGATATGTATTTCTTTTGTTGTATCTGTACATATTTTTAAGTACTTTTGAATAAATTGCCTTAGGCTAAGGATGCCTCAAATCAGCATTAGATAAATAGGGTTATTTGAGGAGATATAACATCAAATATATTAACATGAGTTCAGCAAAGCTAACCAGGTGATGTAAGGCATCAAAATGACGCATGAATAAAATAATGAGTGTTTGTTAAAAGTAACATGATCAAGTTCAAAATGTAATATAGAATTATCTGATTGGGAATGTGTGCTTCACATAATAGGTGTATCTTTCTTTACCAGCAAGTTATATAAAAATAATGTTTACCCCTAGTATGCACTTACCAACTTCTAATTCTACAGCATTGCCTTGAGCTTTTTCTTCACTTTTTTTTGCTGTACATTGATAGTGAGCAGCGTCGTTTTTACATGCTGGTCGTATAATAAGTGTGGGAGCAGCTGGACAACCCGATAAGAATTTGCCATTGTTTATAGGGATTCGCTGGTTTATTCGACGTTTGTCTCCCCTTTTCCAGACGACACTAGTTGGTTTAGGTTCTATAGTACACTGTAAGAAAGCTACATCACCCTCTTTTACCTGATACTTTTCCTGTTCCATAAACACAACCATTTCCTCATCTGTTAACGAATAGACTTGTGGTAAATATTTCATTTTTCTGCATGATTTAAATGAAAACAGTTGGTAAAACATGACATGTGTTGAACTGATGAGTCATTAGAATATGTTCCTCTATTATATAGAACTAAACTATTAACTCACTTGCTCGAGGGCAAGTGAGCTTAGTCAGTGGTGCAGCGTCCGTCGTCCGTCAATTTTTCTTTTAACGACCTCTTCTCCAGAACAGATAGGCATATAGTCTTACATGTCTGATATCTTTATGGGATGGAGCCCGCAATTAGCGAATGAAAATATTATCGACCTTCTGTCGAGGTCACAGAGATCAAATATCTCAAAAACTTCAAACGACTTAATATCAAAGTTTTACTTTATACACAAACAACGTACGTATTAAACGTGTCGCAACGTTTCAAGAGCGACTCGTCTCTTTGTCAAGCTATGACTAAGTGAGCTGTTTATATTATTTACCTGTTCAATGGTGTGACGAAATTGTTTAATAATGTGTCACTCGACACGGGATGTTTTGCTTATCGATAGAGAGTGAATACATACTGTATCAAAAGAGATCAAAGCAAAAACAAACTGCAAAGGCTAGGTCAAAATACCCTACGTGAAGGGACGTCTGAAACTTTTGCCTGGGTGATGATGAAGCATCAGTTCAGCAACCCAATGAGACACTTAGACATTTACTTGTGCACTCCAAACCGATGATATACAATAAAATAGCACGACACTATATGACTTGATAAATCGTTTTAGCTGTACTATGTACATTGCAAACAAAACTAGATGAACTTGATGTAATTTTTGATTTGCCCCGCAGTTAAGCTATCAAGCGTAGCAATCGCCATCATTTTTATGACTGTGTTTCAAATAGTTTTAAATAAGGGAATATAACGATTTAATTGCTTTCAGTCAGTTTGAAAGCCATCTGAAAATGACAAATTCAATATGAAGCTATTGTCCATATCAATGCCAAAAGAAAGCGGGTCAATGCTAAATAGGCATATATTTACTTTATCCGGAAAGATGCTTGTCAGAGATCATAGTATGATTGAGTCTTTGCTACAACGTCGTCTTTTCATGAATACGCTCATGATTGAAGGTTACATGCGAAACATTAACTTAAATGCCAAGCAAACTGGAGGACA